GCTGGGTGTACCTAGCAGGGCAGGAGGGTACAGGATCCCGAGTCACACAGCAATCACGGGGCCCTGGGAGAAACATGGCCAATGAACACTTTACGGTGACACGCATGACCGATATTTTTTAAACTGCGAGAATGATTTGAAACCACTTTGTTGTAATTACTCTATATCCTTAGGTGTAAAGTATGTTCTGTATCCTCTCCTTCTGCTATCCCCAACTGTCTTTGCTCTGGTGGCCCCAGAGGGCCATGGGCTCCGGGAGTCAGAGAACCCCAGAGCTCTGAGCTCTGACAAAAGCTGCTCCCTCCAGCCTCCACACCTCTGGATGTATCTGGTACCTTTTTTCTCTCCCTCGAGGACACTTTCTTGCCTTCCCCACAGCATCCAGTGGGTGGCCATTTGCTTGCTGACTCCCCTGCACCTTTGGATATGGAGGCAGCGTGGGTGTCCTTGCTCATCGTTGTCACCTCCAGCCCTTTCTCCCTTTCTTCTTCCTAAACCTCCGTTCTGACTATGCCACCCACTCGCCCTCTTACTCTACTCAAAACAAACTGCAGGGCCACTCCTGCTTTACACTAAGATTTCAGCTGCAGCATTGTTATTATACATATATGTATATATATTTTTTTTGGGGGGGGGGAATTGGGGGAAGGGGAACAGACGAGTTGCTGTCCTTTCGTTCTTCAGTCTAGTTGTGGAGGACGTCGCTTTACTGGCCCAAGTTGGCACCATCATTGCGCTCTTCCTGGACGAGGCAAATCAGTCGCTGGCTTCTAGACAGCAGCTCACGGCGGGTGCTGGCTACACATGGTAGCCCATGGTAACCCACTGCAGCAGGGGCTGCAGCCTACGCCATCGCCGGCGACTCACAGCAGCCCAGCTCCAGGTTGAGCTGTTGTTCAGCATCTTAGCTGTAGAGGGCAGTGTCACTGGCCCTCATATGTGGGATCTGAACCAGGGACCTCTGGCGTCCCAAGCCAGCTCTTAACCAATGCGCCTCTCGGCTGGCCCTATTATATTTTTTATGACTGTTCCTAGCACAATTTTTGTAATTACGATATCTATTTCAATGATTCTTCCAACACCAAGGCCTCTCTGTTCCTGGCCCTCTCCCTAACCCAGAGATCTTGCTTTTCACTTTACTTAGGCCACCAGCGTCCCTGGTCTTGTTATTACCAATGACGAGAGCCCCTTCATAGTCTCAGCTCTATTTTCTGCCACCATCTCCTGTATTTCCTGTCCTCTCCCTCTGGTACCCTGAGTCTAAAAGTTCTTTGACTCTACCAGGCCCTATAAGCCATCAATCCTCCCACCTTTTCACTGTCTTTCAAGACCCTCATGCCTTAACTTTCCTCCTTACGCAACTAAACCCCATGGCCAGTCATTTCCCACTCCTTACAAACAACCTCAGGTCAGCCTCATTCTCTTTTCATCTTATTACACTCACCTGGCAATTCCCAATCTTACTGCACAAATACATCTGCACGGTGTACACAGCTGGAGGGTAACACACATTATAATGATTGGTGTCTGACTAAATTCATGACCAGTGACTTCAAGTGGACAATCACTGCTACAACACAATTAAAATCCATGTACCCATTGCATTCATTCTCTCAAGTGACATCTTTTCAAAATTCCAATACCTCCTTTTCCACCTTCCCTCCCAGCAAGATGGCCTTTACTGATGAAATGATGCAATCAGAAGAGCCCCAGGGTGAGTTCGCAAAGACTGTCTTTTCTTCTGTTACTAGTGATAGGCTGTCCTTATTTCTACCTAAAGCCAACTACTCCATTCCATAACGTCTTTTCTACTCAAGGATATCACTCCAGGCATTTTTTGTTCTCTCCTTTGCATCACTTGTTTTCTGTTCTATTCTAGAAAATGCAGACTGGCAAATAATCACGTTATTTTCCCCTTAAAAACAACAATGTCTTCGGCTCATATTCTCCTCCGATTATTCCATATTTCTGTTTTCTTCTTTCAGCAACATTTCCTGAGTTACCTTGAGTCCTTTCCCCAATTTATTACATGCTATTTTCTCTTGAATCCACTCCACTTAGTTTTTTGAACCAAATAGTTCATTAAAATTAATTTTGACAGGGTCATTGTTGACCCCTTTGTTTCAAATGTAATAAATATATTTTAAGATGTAATACATATATTTAGCTATAACAGTCAATTCTCACTCTACCTTATTTTTTACTTTTTAGCAGCTTTGACACAGTTAAGCGTTCTCTCCTTTTTTTCCTATTAAATTTTTAAATTTTATTTATTTATATTAATTTTTATTAAATTTATTGGAGTGACATTGGTTAGTAAAATTATATAGGTTTCAAGTGTATATTTCTATAATACATTGTCTGTATATTGCATCGTTCTCGTCTTCTAGTACTTTCTTACTTGCCTTACAAGAAAGCATTCTCATCTACCTGTTTTTCCTCCTACTGGAGGAAAATGGCTACTCATTTTAATCTGCTTTGGTGGTTCCTTCTGATCTCTCTGAATTCAAAATGATATAGTGTCCCAAGGCTCAAACCTCCAACAGCTTCTTTTCCTTTTCAAAAACTCACTCCTTATGTGACTTCATAGCATTTGAAATATCACCCAAATATTGTAAATTGATATCCTAATCTTCTCTCCTGACCCCAGATTTATATTTCCAACTGCTTACTTGACACTCTACTTAGAAATCCAATAGACATCTCAAGTCTATGCTAAAAATCATACTCTCTCCTAATCCTGCTATGCCACAGGCTTTCCTATGGAAGTCAGTGATAATTTCATCATGCTAGTTGCTTGACCAAAACCATCACAAGTCATCCTTGACATCTCTCTTTTCTCATATTCCACATCCAATCGATCAACATATTTTATTAGTTCTACCAGCAAAGTATATACAAAACTTGACTACTTCCCCTTACCTGCACTGCTACCACTATGATCAAACTACTACGGTCTCTTTCTCGGATTATTGCAATAACTCCCTGACTGATCTCTCTGCTTCCACCCTTTCCTTTATCACACCTACTCTCAACTCAGAAACAGAAATAACTGTTAAAAACATAAGCCAGAAAAAGTCACTCCTCTATTCAAACTCTCCAATGGCATTTCACATCACTAGGAGTAAAGGAAGAACATACCAGCATTCCTGCTACCCCTTGAGCATGCCAGCTCTACTCATGCCTCAGGGCCTTTGCTCGGAATTCTTTGTCCCCAGACACCCTATTAGGTGGCACCTGTTCATATTTACTTCAGATTTTTTTTTTTAAGATTTTATTCTGGTAATGGGGGGCGGAACAGTGCTGGGGAATCTGGGGAATGGGAACAGACAAGTTGCTGTCATTTTGTTCTTCAGTCTAGCTGTGGAGGACGTCGTTTCACTGGCCCATGTTGGTATTATCATTGCATTTTCTTGGATGAGGCAGATCGGTGGCCGGCCCCTGGATATCCTCTCACGGCGGCTCTTGGCAGCTCACACCAGCTGCCGGCCACACACGGTAGCTTACGACAGCCCACTGCAGCAGGGGTTGCAGCCTACGCCATCACCAGCGACTCATGGCAATCCCAGCTCCAGGTTGAGTTATTGTTCACCATCTTAGCTGTAGAGGGCAGTGTCACTGGCCCTCATATGTGGGATCCGAACCAGGTCCCTGCTGCACAGAGCTGGCGTCCCAAGCCAGTTCTTAACCAACGCGCCACTAGGCCGGCCCTACTTCAGATTTTTAAAAATCAGTGTGATCTTCTCATTGAGGCCTTGCCTGACTACCACATCCTGCACCTAACCCCTCCCATCTTTGCATCCCCTATTTATTTCCCTCTCTTGTTTAATTTTTATCTAGAGTACTTATCAGCACTTGATACTATAATATACTACTTATTTCTGTGTATAATTTGTTTCCCTTTTCCCTAAACACTCCCTTTCACATGCCCATCTCTTCATGCACCTTCATCAACTCCTCCTGCAGCAAATTTAGGCTAGTAGAGCAATACTTTCTTTGCCCAGAAAACGAAATTGATATTCTGCTTCTTTGCACAAACCTGTTTATATTATACAGATAATTATGTATATATTATACTTGTGTATAATTGAATAAAATATTTCCTTTTAGTGTTAGAAGGCATCTGTTACTTCAGAGCAGTGGGAAGTTTGTTAAGTGTAAATGAGAACTGAAATACAGTGCTGCCAACATATAGCATACAAACAGAATTGGAAGTCTCAAGACTGGGACTCTTGCCTTGGTCTAACTACAAACTGGTTCTGCAAGCAACTGACAGTCCACTCAGCCTGTGGTACTCAGCCGAATCATCAGTAGGATTACATGGTTTCCAAGTTTTACATGTTACGCTGAAGAAATTTTGTTCTTTTGCCTCCTCAACTTTTATCGTGAAAACAAAAATAAAAAATCTTTGAGTGAAATTTCAGGATACTTCTACACTTATTGAAAGTAGTGACATACTCTAAAACAAATCAAAATAAAGGAACTGGGAAAATTAAATTCTTTTCTTCATATGCTTTATACATATTTAATTTAAGTATGTGGACAACACAGAAGCAAACTCAATACTCCTCTTTCCCAGCACCTCGACATTCATTTCAAGTCTGCAATTCTTGTGGGCAGTTGTACTTTGGAATGTAGAACTTTTAAGATTTTATAAAAATATAAAAGTAGACTATAAAACGTGGATATAAAAGTGCATATATGTGACATAACAACCAGTATGGTAGCTAGGGCAGCCCCCGTCAGCAAATACATTAATACTTATGCAAAGTAATATTAACTGAGATAGGTAACAACTCTCAATAGTCTTTCTTCAATTCTCGTCAGATGTTGCCAGTTCAGGTGTTTAGCCACTAACTGTATCACAAAAAACTTTCAGTTTCCAGTTCTTTGAGGATTTTGGAATTTGAGATAAGGGCTTGCGGACCTGTCTTGATTACCCGTGGTTAATCAGAAGACAACTACTCTTTTGGAAAGATAAACATTGGCAACTCCTTTACCTCCTCCGCACGTGGCATCGCAATCTTCCCAGCCTGTGTGTGTCCACATGAAAAGAGGCTCGGGGGCTTTTGAGCTCTGGTTCTCTGGAGGAGGGTCTGACGGAATGGTGTATTCATAGTGAAGGCCATAATTCTGGTCTTGAAACAGCAGCACCTACAATATAATACACAAAAGTGATCAAGGCAGATGGGTCCAAGGAGAATGTGTTCACTGTGAAGCATAAAACTCATGATATCGGTACCCTCCAATGCTTATTGCAAGGTGCGCATGCTTCCTTAACACACAGTAGAAATGTGACATTATTGCTCAACTGTTGACACTGTCATACTTCTGAAAAGATTGAAGTTCACACTTACCTCTGAGGTAAAGACATCATGAAGAAAAGCCTACATGAATGAGGTCAGAGATACCAGATCATTTTCTTTTAAGTTGATGGACTAGACAGTTTCCCAAAGCATGGCACATATATGAGATGATGCGTTGGGTCATCGGGAAAGTCATAACGTATTTTTCTATTTTTCAATGCAAAAATGTGTCATGACTTGCCTGACGACCCAATAGGTAGGGGGACACCGATATATGTCCTATCTAACATTAAGATATAACCTGCAATCTAATGTCAAATGTGCCTTCCCATTCATATAAAACGGGAAGAAATAGTAAGTCCCTGGATCAAAAGTGGGAGAGGATAGAAGACTGTGGGACTCATTTCGCTCCATAAGGGCAGAGAACTTCTAAGCCAACGGAGGGCACAAATTTCATTCCATGATGCATACAGTCAATTTTAATTTTGACAACGTTACTACTTTTCCATTTGCACTAAAGATCACTTCCTTCAAAAAGAAATGTATGTGAAAATGAACTTTTTAATAAATATTAACAGTACAGTTATGTACACATATGTAAAAAGTGCAATAAACCATAAAGGGTGTATGAGAATGACTGAATTTTGGGCCACTCTGGACATAAGCAGGGACCCTGTCCATTTTGTTCTCCCCTGGTATCCTGCGCCAAGCCCAAAACTGGTCATCATGGGCAATCATGCATATTTTAAATGAAAGAAACAGAGCTGAAATATACTCATTTTAAATAAAAGAATGAGTAAGAATATATGTTTCTTTAGAAATACATTACGCCAAACAACTCCAAGGGATACAGCACTTCTATGAATCTGAGGATTTATGAAAGCAATCTATATAATACAACATGATACATAAAAACATATATATCTAAACTTTAAATTATGTTAAATTATTAGAGAACTTTGTTCAATATTTAACCCTCTGTTGGGCGCAACTGATCTCACAGATTCATTGCACACAAAGATGCCGCTATGAAATACGTCTTTACTGTACTAAGCCACAAACACGACTGGTGACAGGTTATGGCAGAGGGGGAAGGTATGGAAGTGATGAGTCACAGTACTTAACTGTTAGATATTTGAAAATTTGTGTGCAATGAATCTGTGAGATCAGTTGCGCCTGACGGAGGATTAAGCTGTATTGAGTTAGTTGTAATGATAGGTAATTCAGAGTAAACACTCCACGGGAAAAAGTTTAAAGGAGCCCAAGGTTAATATTCTTTACTTCGTTTTTCAAATTCTGTTCAATATATCAACAGAAATACTAGGAAATATTTTAATATGTGGATTAGCATGATGGCATTATAAGTCAACTATGTCAACAATAAAAATAATAGCTTTTAAATTCACATATACATAACATACTGGGAACTAATTCCAAGTACATCATAGTGCTTATTTTGACTCGAACTGCCTCATTTGATGTTGCCAATAAGAAGTGACTTTCAGCTAAATTATCTGAGAGAAAGAGAGAGACAGAGAAAGAGAGACACTGACTTCCCCTCTCTATGGACATAACCAGACTACCACATAGTTTTTAAATTGATGAAATGAACATATACATAACAGCTATTTGCCAAGCTATTTAATGAAATGAAAATGTGTCTATTTTTCCTAAAAAAAAACAAAAAAACAAAAAAACCCCTCCATTTTCATTGATAGAACTTTAAATTGTCCTTGAGTAAATAATGCCATTTAAAATAGAGACATTGGCCACAACGCCATTAGCTCCCTCTGAAACCATGTGAAGTTGGCAGCGTGCTTTAGCAAGAAGGAAAGTGTGACCGTGTTACAGCCGAGGGGTACAGGCTGCAGCATGGCAGCAGAAGGTATTGCCTTTCAAAATGCAGCGCTGGCTTTTGATCTGTAATAGTCATTAAAGAAAAATATCTTAGAAGTACAGTTTCCCTGGGATTACTGAATAAATCCAGGTCACACAGATGCCTTCTTTTAGACATAGTTCACTGACTTTAATTACGTTTCATGCTTCCAGGAAAAACCTTGGTAATTACCAGTCAGATTAAGGATTCTGCAGCAAGAAAACTCCCCCTACCCAACACAGAGGTCTCACATAGACTGTCTTAAGATTTTGAATTAGAGGCTCAGTAAAAGAGCTTCAGTCTTGTACCACAAAAAAAACCGTAGGTAACATTCATATAAGGCAGGTAACTTGAAGGCATTTCTTGCAATCTGATCGTTAAAAATGTTTGTTGTTGGGAATGTTGTGATTCTAAGTAACCCCTGGGCGAGCATTTTGTAAGGTATGTAAATGTCTAATCACTGTGTTGTACACCTGAAACTAATATTGTACATCAACTGTAAACGAAAATGAAATTTAAAAAAAATAAGTGACCCAATCATGGAAAGGCCCAGATATTGGTCAATGTTTGTTTAGTCATTTTTTTCCCTTTCCAGATGGCATGGGGCACAGAGTGGAATTTCCAATTCACATGAAATAATAGAATCCGAAGGAATTGTGAGGAGATGAACAAATAATTATTCAAAGTATACATACATGTATGATCCAAGGCTGTCTGGTAGAAAAAGCTGTATAGCAGGAGAGGCAGCATAGAAGATTAATTAACACCTGGTTTATTCACAGCTAAATCACTTACTGGGAGACACTGTGCACATTACTTAACTTTCCTCATACTTAGTTGTTGTTTTTCAATCAGTAAAATGGAGTATCTTACCCAGGGTTATTGGGAAGATTAAATGCTGTAATAAACATAAAGCACTTTTGGACAGTGTCTGACTCAGCACTCCGTGAATGGTGGTTATTATCATTGTCATCATCACCATCAAGATTTGGAACAGAAGGTCCCCATGCAACTCTCTTTGCTCCTTTAATCCCTGTTGGTAAAACTTATCGATTGCAGTTGTAGAAAACATTATTACTTGAAGCGTTGTCCGTGGACCAGTGTGGGCGGCATCACCTGGGAGCTGGTTGGACACACAGATCTCAGGGCCCACCCCTGAGCAAAGGAATCAGTGTGCCTTTTATCAAGAACCCCGGATGCTTTGCAGGCACATTCAAGTCGGAAAGGCAAATGGGCCAATATGTGATTTGAACCTCTGGCTCCTAGACCAGCAACACAGATGTCTCCAATTGAAGACAAATTCAACTTAAGTTGTGTGGAGATATTAAATAATGTGGCATACCACACTCCAAATAAAGAGTCAGTGGATCGTGTTTTAGAGTTGTTTTTATGTGTGGACTTAAAGAGGTGTTGAAGTGTCTGAATTTTAGACTTTGTCACTAGGATGGAAAACATTCCAGCTTTGCAGTCAGTCCTCTGGCTCCTGAGCCGTTAGCATGGACAGCAAAGGTCAAGGTTAAAAGGGGCATTTGAACCTGCCATCAGCTTGGGCGCAGGGCCCCACTGTCCTGCTTCTTTTACTGCAAACTGTCCTGCCTCATATCTCATCATTTATTACATAAATGGCAAAGAAACTTATCCCAAACATCCCAATTTTCATAATTCCTTTCAGGAATCAATTAACCTAGTAAGGAAACAGAACAGGGTAAATGGAAGCATTGTTAGATATAGTTACCAAATCTTTTCCCCAGAAACAGTACCATTTTATCAAAGGCATTTTATAGATTTAGAAAATGCCCACTTCATGATGCATAAAATGTTATGATTTACCATATTATAGCACTCTCTTCACAGACGTCCACTCTGGTTAGTATCTGTATGCTTTTCGGAAAAAGAGGTTCCCTATTGCTTGTAATTTACCTCTACTTTGAGTAGGTGAGTCCCCCCAAAATTTTGCTCCTCTTGTAATAATTTCCATTTTTATATATCGCAATTTAAAACACATTTAAAACATCCCTAAAAATCCAAATAATTTTAAACATCTAGCTGACGGTTCAGATTTGGAACAAAGATTAGAGCAAGCACAGTGGGAATGTCCGTCGCCACAGGGAGCTGATTACGCAATGTTATTGACTCTTTCCCTCATACCAGGAGGTGTAAAGGTGATGTGGTAGGACCTTTGGCAGAAATCTTCTCCCAGAGGCCTCGTCTTACGTAATGAACAGTAGTTCCCGCTAAGTTGAATGCTCCGGAGTGTTCAATCTTCCAGTCGCTATTGATAGACTGTTTTCCAGTGTCACGGAGAGCTATAAAGAGGTTCAAAAATAATACGAGCATTAAGTGAGCAGCATTAATCAATACCCACTTCACATGACTTCATTAAAAGTGTTTCATTCATTTCTAAACTAATGGATCAATCCCCTGACCTAACACATGAGGCACGTCCTCGGTGGGAAAGCCTAAGATCATAGCAAATGCCACAAGCGCTCCTTCTCTCCTGAAACTGTCCACAATCACGTGGCCATATTTATCTTGGCCTCCTCCAACCTCCACTGGACCCTTGGTGTCTGTAACACTTCTTTTGGTCTTTAATCCTTTATCGTTTAACATATATATATATATATATTTTTAAAGATTTTATTGGGGAATCGGGGGAAGGGGAACAGACAAGTTGCTGTCCTTTTGTTCTTCAGTCTAGTTGTGGAGGATGTTGCTTCACTGGCCCATGTTGGTATTAGCATCGTGCTCTTCCCGGGTGAGGCAGTTGCTCGCCAGCCACTGGACGGCTGCTCACAGTGGCTCTTAGCAGCTCATACCGGCTGCCGGCTGCTCACGCTGGCTGCCAGTCACACATGGTAGCTTTTGGCAGCCCACTGCAGCAGGGGCTGCAGCCTATGCCATCGCCGGCAACTCCCTGCAGCCCAGCTCCAGGTCGAGTTGTTGTTCACAATCTTAGCTGTAGAGGGCAGTGTCACTGGCCCTCATGTGGGATCCGAACGGGGGCCCTGCTGCTCAGAGCTGGCGTCCCAAGCCAGCTCTTAACCAACGCGCCACTGGGCCGGGCCCTAACATATTCTTATTTTAAGGCTGTGTGTGTCTGTGCTGTCTATGAAATGATCCTATGAATAACGTGAGGGCTGGCATGACATCTTTTACATGCTCCGGGTCTCCTATGCCACCCAAGAAAGTGTGTCATTAAAGAAAGGTCATTAAACAACATGTTAACAGATCAAAGTGACAGGATTATATTCATTACAAAAAATTTAAAAAATATTGTGTTGGTTTTAAAAACAGAACTGAGGACCTTTTCACATCCGTAGTTTGTGATTTGCTCTGTACGAAAATGGAAGATAAATGCTAATTCTCACTCATAGACAGCTACCATTTGTATGGGCTTTTACAGAATAACATTGTTTATATATATTTTTTCTCTATTTCTGTTTTGAACTGATCTCTGCTACTATTTAAATAAGATTCATGACATGGAAGTGTGAAGTCATGATTACCAATTTAAATTAAAGATTCCTTCTTATTTTTTTCCAAATTGTTAATTTTTTTTAATTTAAGCTTTAGACTCTCCCATATGATTGAATTCTCTTCCAAAAAAATATTTACATGTTCATTCTTTTTTATGTCATAATTCTATGAAAATGTTTTAAGCCAATAAGTCTTCCCAAGTATTATTCTAGCTAATCTCTATTTATTGAATGTTTGAGGGTTTCCAAGTTTTTTATATTGTACATAATGCTCAGATAAATATACTGTACACTAATTATGTGTATATCTGAATATTTCCCTTGGATAGAGTCCCAGATTTGGGATTACAGAGCCAAAGAAATTGAACACTTGTAGATTTGGAAAAACAAGTTCAAATTGATTTTTGCAAAGGTTGCATCAATTTATGTTTCCATAACAGTGACTAGCGTGCCCATTTCTGAATACCTTCTTGGAAGCACCTCCCTCTTGTATAATATTTAATCAAGACTAAATAAATATGTATCAAGTATCAGCTAGAAATCAGGAAATACTCAGAGTCCTGGGACCTCCCAAAGTGAACAGTATAAATATATTCTCTGGCTTCCTGGAATTTATAATCTAACTGGTGAATGAGAAATTAAACCAGTTACATAAGTCACTAACTAATCCTAATTATGTTGAAGCTTGTGTGGGCGGAGTCAGGGAAGGCTTGCCTGAAGGATGTGATTTACTGAAGATATTAGCGAGGGGAAAAGAGAAGAAGAGAGAGCACTCAGGACTAAGGAATCAACTAATGGAAAGGACTTAAAGCTCAATGCAGCTCAGTGAGCTTCGGAGACAAGTGTGCATGACGCCAAACGCACTGAAGTGAGCCACGAAGAGATGAGGCCGGAGAAGTAAGGAACAGCCAGACCTGATAGGCCTTGTTAATATTTTGAGGGTTTTTCCCTGAGGGGGGAAAAATGTACAGCTATAAGGGATTTTGAACAATATTGTGCAGAAAATGGGCTGAGGTAGGGCAAATTTGGATAGGGAAGACAGGATATGACATTAACACAGTAACCCGGCTGAAAATGATGGTGGCTTAGATTAGGGTACTGGAGAAAAATATCAAGAGGAATTTAGGAGTGAAATTTATAAAATATGATGATGACTTCTCATCCTGGGTGAAAGGAAGTGTCAGGTATGACGCCAGGTTCCTAGGATGAGGAAACGGGTGGGTTATGATGGCAAATAATGAGATGGGAAAGACTAGCAAAAGAAATGAGTGAGGAGATACACCAGGAGTTAAATTTTGAACAATCTAAGTTTGTTTCTTTTAAATCTCTTGTTTTATTGCTAGGGAGGTTAAAGATATTTTTCATTTGCTTATTTGTCATTTGCATTTTTATTTAAATTAATTAAATAAATTATTCATTATCTGTAAGGTTTTTCTGGTCCACTGAGGGGTCTTTCTGGTGCTCATATTCACATTATTACAAGCAATGTATTAATAAAATTATTGAAATTTTATCTCATCAATCTTAATGTCTATTAATAATTTCTTTATCATGTACTGCATATAAAGTATGTTTCAGATAAAATATTAAGCATACATATTTTCCGATTTATGAAAAATATATAAATATTAGTTTTTACCTTGAATTTTAAACTTGAAAAAAAATACGCTGACAGAAAACTCTCAACACTTTGCAAATAACTATTACCATCCACAACACAATATACTTCAGATAACACTAAATTGATTTTAAAAATAACGATTTTACCTAAAAGATGATTTCCTTTAAAGTCTATAAATGTTTTGAGAAATCCTTTTGGCCTAGATTTGTACTATGGCCAGTATAATTTCTTCCCCACCCCACCTCCTCCCCCCACCTCCCGTATTTCAATTTATATTCAGGGCACAATTATAAAGGAATATTTTTTGAAAAATCTCTAATAAAGATGCCTGAAAAAAACTTCCTAAAAAATACCATATACCTAAATTATTTTTAAAATCCAGTCTTACAAATTTTGTCTTTCAACTAAAGATGTAAATTTTTAAATGTTTTTTAAGAATGCTGGCATGTTTTGGTTTGTTTATACCATCTTATTTTGTGCTTTCTTTTTTTCTGCTTGCTGTGTATTTTTGTTATTTTTATCCTGTCTTGTTTTCTACTGATTGAGTTTTTAAAATTTCATTTAAAAAATTATATTTGCTGAATATGTGTTTAGTCAATTTTTATTCTTATTGGTAAATCCTTCTTTTATATATTTAAACATATCGACCATAAATTGTTCTACTTTCTGTATACGATACAAATATATACATGTCTGACTGATTCTGCTCTCCCATATTTTTACTGTGTTTTGTTTATAGTGTCTATTTCTTTTTGTGTTTTCTGAATTTTTTTTTTAAATCACAGAATTTTATTTGTTGAAATTTATAGAATCCCTTTGAGGCCTAGTTTAAAGGTGTATTACTTCAAAAAAAATTTGCATTTGCATATGCCAGCCACCTTAGTAACCTCATTAAAATAAATGCCTTGAGGGTTTCAGACTTTGTAGTTAGAGTGAATTGGTGCTGCAAATCTGTAGGAACATTTGCTTTCGGTTACAAATTTACAGGGAAGTGGATTTTCTATCTCTGCCTATTATCAATGTTAATACAGACAAATTTCCTTTCTCCTTTTAGGTGCATTTCTCTCTCCCCTTTGCACTGAGCTTGTAGCCCTTTGGGGTCCTGCTTCATGCAGGGGTCTCCTGCATGAGAGTCGCTACTTTGCAAAGGCCTTAGGCTCTGCTTTCCGTCCACAGTATCCCTGGGCTCTCCAAAACTAAATTGGTCACCAGGATTAAGCATAAGTGGGGCTTCAGGCAGCCAAATGCTCTGGCTTCCTGTTCTCACTTTGTTTTTAGTATGTGAGGATTCCTTAATTTCTTTCCAGTTTGGAGGTAATTTAAAACGTGTTCTTTTTTCCTCCTTTTGTGTTTTCCTCAACATTTTTAATTGTTTTTACTGAGAAGTGTTTTCCATAGTGGGTTGTATGCACAGTTTCAGGCAAGGTTAAGTTGACCCATATGATCTTTTTTTTTTTTAGATTTTCTAAAATCATAAGCTATAATGATTTTGTAAAGATATAACATATGATCTATCTGACCTACTTTACTCTCCCTTTTAGGCTTTTTGATAAATGATTAAATTAGCAACCAAATAATAAAGTCACGATCTTCAGAAAAGCAGATGATAACTGCATATGGGAATACAATTCAAAGAGAGAGTAATGAAAAAGAATAACTGGATTGGAAGGAAATTAGATGTCTCCTATGAGATAATATATAGTTTGATGTAGACAAGTTAATTTGTTACAGAACGATCAGTTTGCCAGGATATGATCTATTTTCCTTTCTTTTTGCTAATGCTATTTCAGATGAAGATTTTTCAATGACTTCCTACCAATGCCCGAAGGAGCCTTTAGGAAATATGATTTATGATATGTATTCTCTCCCATTCTTTAGGCAGAAAATACGTATCACAGGCTTGAAATCTAGCATTTTACACTTGAAATTGAGGATTTTAGTACCATGTCATTTCTTTCCTTTTCCAAAGTTTCCCCTGATCCATGGGCCCTATCTCAGTAAATGCCATCATTAGTCGCAAAGTTGTTTAACCAAGCAACATAGAAGTCATCCCTGAATCTTCATTTTCTATCAACATTCACATGCACTTTCCAACAAGCTTCAACAGCTCACCTTCGTCAATGTCTCTAGAAAGCATTGCGTGTTTCCCACTCCTAACCCCTTGATTAGATTATACAGCTGGTCTCTGTCTTCATTCGTGCACCCTCCC